GCAATGCGTAATATATGTAGAGGTATATATAGAAAGATGTTCTTTTAGTGTGAGCCACAGCTCAATAGAGTTAGCAGAGCAACAGGGAGGACAGATAAACATGCTATATGTGATAGAGACTAAAGTACTTTGAGCCAAAAATTATATTTTTGCTTAGAAGAAACTTGCTATAACAGAGTGCATATAGAGATGCAGATGGTTATTTTTTTTTACTTAGATTTGTACCAAATGTGTACTTGAAACAATGCAAGAGTTAAATAGATGGCTAATCAGTTGATTTCATTTTTTGTTAAGTATCATTTTCATGTATCTTATTTTGGTATTTATTTTGGGAGAAATATTTTGATTTTAAAATGCATTTGGGGAGATTTTTCATGGGAAGGAGAAGGGGAGGAGAGTTTAAAGGAAGCAGAGAAATTCCCTGTGGCCATTCCCAATGTGGTCAGGTATGAATCAGCCCTTTCCTGCATTAGTAACAAATCCCACATCTTGGAACTGTTTTGTATGCTTTGTTATTATTTGATGTGTACTTATTATTTTCTATGTACTGTTTAATATTTCAGCCATACGCTGTACAGATCCAGGCACACCACAGCACGGCCGGAGAAGTGTGAGTGGCCTGGAAGTGGACGGAGAAGTCCAGTTTGAGTGTATGGCAGGGTACAGACTGACTGGGAATAATGTTGTACGCTGCACAACTGATGGCACCTGGAGCTCGGAAAATCCAACTTGTGAAGGTTAATATATTCCTATACTCCTTACATATGTATTTGTATCTTATATGAGGTTTTAGTTAGATGTGGTACATTTGAGAATTTTAAAAATATTATTTTGCTATATAAGGTACCCTATAAGCATTTTGGGAGTGACCTTCAGGGCTGCAATGACTTTAGCTGATATATCAATGCCAAAAGCGATTAAGATTAAAAGATAAAATGTTTATGAACAGGTAGCTTTCACATGCACACAGACATGCACGTGCACAAACACATGCACACGTGTGCACACACATGAGGACAATAAAGAGGCTTCTCTTCTCTTCCAGATATAAACGAATGCACGTCTGGCACAGCACGGTGCAATCCAGAGACAAGCACTTGTGTCAATACAGTCGGCTCGTACAACTGTGTCTGCATGCCAGGCTACGAACAGGATGGGGTCGGAGGATGTCGCGGTATGCATGTTCATGTCTGTGTATTCTGTCAAAATTGCTATGGTTTATGTTTGTTGATTAGATAAATGATCCACATTAACTATTAATTTATTCATATATATTTATACATATTACAATGTCTGTTCCTCCATACTTTTATTACCTCAGATATTGATGAGTGCCAGCGGGGACTGGACCGGTGCGATCCACTGACTCAGGACTGTGTAAACACGCCTGGATCGTACCAGTGCAGGTGTAAAGATGGCTATAAACTGACCGCTGATAAGGAAAGTTGTGAGAGTAAGTTATTGAAGTTATTTTCTGGGATGATTATGAGCTGAACTCATATTTTGTGCACTGTTTCATTTAAAACAAGTGTCACCTTGTTGCTTAGTACATTTTTATACTGATATTTGGTAGTGAAAAGTTCTTTATTGTCAAATGCCAGGGTCATTCACCCAACTTTTGTTTCCATAGTTTTAAACAATAGTTTATTATACAATACTACTACTATCAGAGGTCTGCAACCAGCATCATACCTTCACGTATCAAAAAATATACATAAGTTGTCTTTGAAATTTCAAAGTTTCCCCAGATCACTCGGGTATGGCATATAACCAATTCTGACTAGGGACCCCCAGCAGGGGTGGATTTAGGCTGTCTTCTGGGTCTTCTGGAAGATGGTCAGATTTTCAATTTATAGTTGTTATATTTATAGCTATAATTTATAGCTGTCAAGGTTTTGAGGGACTCATAATGAAGTTTTGTTCATCTCCAGTGATGATGAAAAATTTGAAGTTTTAAATTCTTAAAAGAACTAAAAAAACTCATAAGATCATAATTTTCTGTGAGGTTTTAAGGAGGTTTATGCTGATAAAGGGTTGGCTGAAATTCTAAGAAAATTTTTCTTGTCGTAAAAAGTTTGTATGCTGATAGTGTGCTTCACAGTGCTGTAGCCAGTGCAGCCAGGATTAGTTTTTATTAAAGTATTTCCCTTATATACAGTACAAGCTTTTTAGAATAAACTGATTTTTAAAGAATTTTTACAAACAATTAACAGTTATAAGTTTGCATTATGCATTAAAAGACCAGCAGAGTCTATAAAACAAAATATTTATTTTAAAATAATCATATATGACAATTTTTTGGCTTATAAGCCTATTTGTGATGATTTTTTGCTCTTTGTTTTAAGAAAGCTCCATCTCTTATACAATCTATTTATACTTTCACTTCCAGAACTGGAAGACAAAATTGTGGTTAGACAAGGTAAGTTCAATTTTCATCATTTCACATATTACATTTTATTTGTATGTTTATCTGTAGGTGAAAAATGTATGAAATTAAGATGACTCCATTTCTTGCTTGTGCCAGAAATTCCTGTCTTTTTACTCATCCTGTCAGTGCAAATGGTTATTAATTTTACATATAGAATAAAGAAATTGATGTCATTCCATTAAAAATAATTTTTATCATGATGATAGAAATGAACAAATTAATATTTATGGCAAGGTCTAAGACTGTATTTGATTTAGATGCATCACGTGAATTTTCCTTTTTCTTTGTGAATGACATAAAGAAAGTTTACTCTACACCTTCTAAGTGTAATCAACTCCTTATCCTTACAACAGTGTAAAGTTATTAGATTAAAGGGATAATAACTCTTTGTTTCGGCCAAAAAGTGGATTTTCCTGGAGTAAACAACGATTTTCCCATACTAACCAATGGTTAATGAACCCATTTTTACGTTCAAAGTTAGTCCCTGGTTTTTTTCTAAAAAGTTTGGTTTTTTGTTATAATCTCAGAGAAACAGAGAATAGCCATCAATGGAGATCATGTGATCTAAAGACAAGCTCAGATATCAGAATAATAGCTAAAACTTTGTGGTAAAACAGAATATATTATAATTCTATGAGTTATTCACAATGTTTTTATTGTGAAATATAGATCTCATAGGAAGAGTTATTATCCCTTTAATTGTTAACCATGCTGAGTTGCCGCATCTCACTGCTTTATTCTGGCCCAAAGGTTGGAAGGGCAAGTTTTTTTTTTTTTCTTTTTTTTTTTTTTAATTTGTAATCCAGGATCACAATTGGTATTATTTATTTACTGTTCATTTGAAATATTCTCTTGAACTAAAACCTGTATTTTGTGATCTTGTCAGATATCAATGAGTGTGATGGCAATGACCACGGCTGTGACATGGAGAATGGCGGCTGTCAGGACACCCTTACCTCCTACTACTGCTACTGCAACTCTGGCTATGAACGCAGTGACACCAATCTTGGAACCACTGTATGTGTGGGTACGTATCAAAATAAATATCAATGACAAATTTCAGGGGCATATAGCTTTGATTTTGTTTATTTTGTCAAACTCTTTTTGCTAACCCTCAGTGCGAAACCTTTGTAATCCTTCTCATTCTTCAACTGTTATCAAGGGATTACATAGCAGGTTCTTAATAAGTTCACAGGATTATTTACTCTAAATAAGCAGACTGCCTGTTATACCTGTTATGTTATAACATTGGTCACCTTGGTTATAAACCAAGTGAAAATTTTACTGGAAACTAAAGTGCATGGTTTTATAAACACAAGTATTATAATGCAGTGCTGGAAGGCCCAAGACACACTATGGTTCATTTATTCCCTAGTCTTTATACAACACTGCTAAGGATTTATCAGAGGATTGATTTCAGTATTTGTTTTCTGCTATTTAGATATAGACGAATGTCAGACACGGACAGACAGCTGTGATCGTCTCTATGGATCCTGTCGCAACACGCCCGGGTCCTATACGTGCTCTTGTAACACTGGTTTCGAGCTGGCTGCCAATAACAGGAATTGTCGAGGTAACATTCTTTTCATGGAGTGAGCTTTATAGATACTTTTAAGCCAGTGTTCTTTGTGTAGGTGTGGCCATTATGATGTGGCATGGGTAACAAAACTGAACAAGGTACCATAGTAATATATTGTTATTGGTTTTACATAAAAATGATGCGGTTTATATCCAAATAAATGGATTTTAGTCTTAAAATAAATATGTTATTATATTATTATTATACCATGCATCTTGGCAATGAATTGAAACTTTGTAAATGATAATAATAAACAATCTTTAAAGAATAAAAGTGGGCGTGGCTTAATTTGAAATTGTAATCAGTTCTCTCATTCCTGAAATTATAAGTCTATACGGAAAATTTCGATAAAATTTGTAAAGAACTTTTTGTGAAGTATCTAGTCCACAAGCAAGTGAATAATGATGAGCACCTGACTTGCTTGGTTGACAGCAGTGTCACCTGGTGTTAGGCAGCTGTGACACAGCTCTGTCACTGTGTCATTTCACTGACATATTGCATCTTTTCCAGGCCCGTAGCCAGCAATTTCAAAAGGGGGGTTCCTTTTCTGAAAAAGTGGACCTTTTACCATAAAAACTTCTTGTACCTAGATCAAATTTTACCCAGAGTGGACCTTTTCCAAGCAAAAGGGGCGGTTCTTTCGAACCCCCCGAACCTCCCCTGGCTACGGGCCTGAATTTTTTCAGTGATATGAAAAGTTTACTGGGACTGATTGCATGCATTCAGAGCAAGTTGATGTGCAGACTTACAGATTCTTGGATCAAATATGGCGCCACCAACTCGAAAGCGTTTCGGGATTTAATTGCGCTGCCTATGCTGGGACAGTGCGTGTGGGAGGTGGGAATCCATTAATTGTCAAATGTGCACCATATTTGGTACACAATATTTGGGACTAGTTAGTCTGCAGATCTACTTTGTTGTGAGTGCTCTCATTGATCCATTCCCACAGATATTTAGATCGATCTATCCCCCTGGGAAGTCTCATCAGATTGCTGTCAGCTAACTGGCTTACATGTCTTTTGTGCACGCTCAGCTCCTGGAAGCTGACTGCAATTTAGCATGAACCCCCAGGGAGTTACGTCGATTCAGATGGATCGATCTAAATCTGTGGGAATCCAGTCTAGTCTGCAGATCTACTTTGTTGCGAGTGCTTTCATTGATTCATGATTTCTTGTAGATATCAATGAATGTGAGAGAGGGCTCGATACATGTGATCCACTAGTCGAGTCCTGTGAGAACACAATGGGCAGTTACAGGTGTGTGTGTATGGAAGGATATCAGAAGAACAACAATGGAGTCTGTGAAGGTAAGAATACAATGGGTAGTTACAGGTGTGTATGTATGGAAGGATACCAGAAGAACAACAATGGAGTCTGTGAAGGTAAGAATACAATGGGTAGTTACAGATGTGTGTGTATGGAAGGATACCAGAAGAACAACAATGGAGTCTGTGAAGGTAAGAATACAATGGGCAGTTACAGGTGTGTATGTATGGAAGGATACCAGAAGAACAACAATGGAGTCTGTGAAGGTAAGAATACAATGGGCAGTTACAGGTGTGTGTGTATGGAAGGATACCAGAAGAACAACAGTGGAATCTGTGAGGGTAAGAACACTACGCACAAAGCTTGGCCGCTCTGAGCTCATCTCTGATTATTGGTTAATTAATGAAGTGATGAAATAATCAGTGGATCATCAATTGATTTTAAAGAAACCATGTATGTTTATCAATATCCATGTGATATTTTGGGTTTGGCTGTTAACAGATGTAAGAAGGCAACAAAGGCAAAAACATGACCTCCTTGCCAGAGATAATTGATATACTTGATCTGTGGAGATGTTCTACGAACTGAATTTACCTGCCATTATACTTGTTAGGACAATATGTGGATATCTACTTATGGGGCACAGCAGTAACTGCTCTATTGGATTTTGTATCATTTTTCCCTACATGTATTCAGCACATGAGGATTTTTAGCTGTGTTATAATTCCATGAATGGCTGCTACTTGTTCATGTCTCATAAGCCATAATTGCCATTTGTTAACATGAGCCTTAGATTTGGGAGCACAAAGACATATGAATGACTCCAGGCACAAGTTAAGTACTCCTATGTAAAATTAGTTGCCACAAGCACAGCATTTCATAACTCAAACAATTTGGCCAGCCTCCATCGCCAGGGACAGAAACTTAGCCTCCATATATATATATATATATATATATATATATATATATATATATTGTGTATTTCAAGTGAATTCAATGAATGTTGTACCAAGTTTTTTTTTTCCACTTTCAGACATTGATGAATGTCGTGAAAATATTGCCAAGTGTGAGTTATTGAAGCAGGACTGCGAGAACACGCGGGGCTCGTACAGGTGTGTGTGTCGCCAGGGACAGAAACTTAGCAAAGACGGGAAATTCTGTGAAGGTAAACGTAATCTGCAGATGAATGTACTCTCTTCATAGGAAATGTAAGTTAAAGTGTAAAGTGCATTTTTTCATTATACTTTGATTTGGAAGGACCTGCATGTGTTTATGAATATAGATTAACTACTTCAAACTCAACAAAATGTTGTGAAAATAGTCCTTATTTGCAAAATTTGTCTCAATGATTGCAATTCTTGACTTATTACATTGGTCAAAGACATTTAAAAAAAGAAGTGCAGTTTAGTATGTAGATTTATATAGATCATTGATAACATTAAGTGGGCTTCTATATTCTTTTATTTATTATCAGACTTTATAATTATAATAGTATGTGAATTATTGTAGGTCATCATTTAGTCAAATATTTATATATATATATATAATATTCTTGAAGATGAGAAGCATTTTTTACTAGTTTTTCCACGTAATGAGGAATTGAGAGCTCAGTACATTCCTAATTTGAATGCTAACAATTAATACATCTTCAAATTGTTATATTGCTATGATGAAAATAAAAAATCCTAATGCTCTGAACAACCTTGCTAGATTTATTTACCATGGTTTGAATGCTAGAGAAAACTGTAACCTTGTGATGTATTTACTATGGGCCAGTGGCCTTAATCAATTGAATAAAGCATTGAAATTTAGTCATAGATCAGTGAATTTTCCATTTTACTACAGATGAGGCCCTCCAGTGCCCACAACCCAGGATTTTGAATGGTGCCTATTTCTACGTTGCTGGGGCCAATAAGGATGTTTACACAGCTGGGGACCGAGTCTCATACACATGTGATGATGGTTATGAGATCACTGGAGCATCATTATCCACCTGCCTAGAAACTGGAGAGTGGGATCCAGTGGTACCAAAATGTTTAGGTTTGTGGCCAGTGGTCTTATGCACAAATAGAAAAATTGAATGGCAGTTAATTCATCTGGTCTTGATTTTGGACCCTTTAGATGGGACTGTTGGATTGAGAGTAATTTAAATATTACTTTTTGCACAGGTCAAGATATGAGTTTATTTGGTTACTTACATCAAACAGGTGTCTGTTAATTGTTCACATCCTGTATGTCTCCCTGTACATGTACAGAAGTAAAAAGTCCAAGTTTGCATATGAGACTAAGACCCCATTCCCAGAGATTAGATCAATCCAACTAGATCGACCTAAATCCCTGGGGATTCACGCTAAATAGCTGTCAGCCGAGCGGGCACAAAAGTTAATTACCCTCTTGCAGCTTGTAGTAGGCGGGATGGACATTTAAGCCAGATTATCTGACAGTAATCTAGTGAGACTCCCCACAGGGATAGATCGATCTAAAATCTATGGGAATGCACCCTAAGAACCCTAGCAAACTTAGAATCTTTACTGCAATGTTATTTTACTCCAATACCAAGTCTGTTGGCAATCATTCTGATTATCTTTACAGTGTTTTCTAACAGGAAGCTTCAGTGTGAAATTCTTTAATTCTAACCACAATTATCTCTTGTGGTACTCTCTGCTACATTTGGCTATAATTTGGTAGGAGAAAGATGAAAATGTTACAGTTATCTAGGATTTGCTTGTCCAACATAACTGTCTAAAGTTTGGAAGGATTGGAAAAGATTCACTTGGTTCTTGGTGACAGAGGTATGTCCAACTGACTGAACTGCCCCAAAGTTAAACAAACACTCTGTCCTCTGCCCAGAGTCCACACATCTTCCTTCACTGTCTTGTTGTCTTCTCTCTCCTCCAGATGTCCTCTGCCCAGAGTCCACACATCTTATTTCACTGTCCCGTTGTCTTCTCTCTCCTCCAGGTGTCCTCTGCCCAGAGCCAGAGATTGTTGAATTCAGCACCAGAAGGGACAGTGGGACCATATTCCGCTACCAGGACACCGCCTCCTTGCAGTGCTTTGCTGGCTACGTCATGGATGGTCCAGAGAGAATCACCTGCAGAGCCAACGGGGCCTGGACGACTTATCCAACCTGCTCAGGTGATTGATTTATAGGACTTGCTGTGGCAACAACTTTGTACTTTACTTCGCAAAAAAGTAGGGGTCATTTTCCCTCCACAAGTTCACCTTATGACAGTTTTTGGAGTGTTCTCCCATCTTCCATCCATCATTACTGTGTATGTCCTATCCAGCGCATGTGTCTGTATTTCAAGATGGAATACAGATTTGTAACTCCTGAAAGTAATAAAAGGATGATTAATTGGGGAAAAAAAGGCTTGGAGAAGTTTTTTTTTTTTTTTTTTTTTTTGCTTTTTCATTATCAAAATTAAACTCTTTCCCACTACTCCAAGTACAGCTTATTACACAGACCAATAGCGTGAAACCATGAGATACAGATAGGAAACAGATGACCTGGAGGCTGATGACTTCTACAGAATGGGACACGTACGGCCTTACTGACAGCCAGAAGATATACAAAGAATATGTACAAAGACTTTGGTCTGTCATGGTTTTCTGTTTATCTTGATTTTATTATTGTTATTTACTTGAAATTATTGTTATCATTTCAGCTTGTCCAAAGGACAGTTATGCTGACAACAATCAGTGCAAGCGGTGTCCTGCCAACAGTCACACCATCTCTGACGCCAGTAGTAGCATAACCAGCTGTATCTGTGACAGAGGTTATACTGGTCCACCAGGAGGACCTTGCCAAGGTAGGTGTTAGGTGCATTGCCAATAGCCACACCATCTCTGATGCTAGTAGGGGTATAACTAGCTGTATCTGTGAGAGGTTATACTGGTCCACCAGGAGGACCTTGCCAAGGTAGGTGTTAGGTGCATTGCCAATAGTCACACCATCTCTGATGCTAGTAGGGGTATAACTAGCTGTATCTGTGACAGAGGTTATACTGGTCCACCAGGAGGACCTTGCCAAGGTAGGTGTTAGGTGCATTGCCAATAGTCACACCATGTCTGACGCCAGTAGTAGTATAACTAGCTGTATCTGTGACAGAGGTTATACTGGTCCACCAGGAGAACCCTGCCAAGGTAGGTGTTAGGTGCATTGCCAGCTGATTTGTAGTGGCTTAAGCTTTTTTGTCAGTGGCCTTTGACAACAGTTAAATTAAGCCAATACCAGGCCTACCCAACTACCAGACTGGGCACCTACGGATCCAGAATAAACCGGTATATCAGACCACACTACCCGTTTTCAAGGTGTGTGTCAGATTGCATTACAGAGTATCATACCCCATTACAAATTTTGTAAGCCTACCTGTCATCCGGGTATCGCGCCTCGTTTTCTTCAAGTAGGAGTCGTATGAATACAACAACATGGCGACAGACGACTCCCCCCATCTTGTCCATCCCGCTGGCCATCAAAATATTTAACCCCCGACAGAATATGCTTCCGCTATCCAAATTAGGTCTACTTTTCTAAATTAATATATATGTTTGCAAGTTCTTATTTACAAAACATCATTGGCTATGTTCGAACCTAAATTTTATGTGATAGATACAATACGAGTCGCCGAGCTGTACGTGAAATATTACGAGTGTATTGGCGAGCCGTGGTTTAAGTTAAAAAATTGCGGTATTGTCAGATTTTTAGCATAAACAGGGAAAATTGCAGCAGCGCATGAATCTAGATGAGATGCACTGCTTTCCAACCTCGCTTAGGATCATCGCTATCACATCGCCCACTAGGCAAATTCGGTGTGGTGGCTGATACTCTGTAATGCGATCTGACACACACCTTGAAAACAGGTTGTGTGGACTGATATACCGGTTTATTCTGGATCTGTAGGTGCCGAGTCTGGTAGTTGGGTAGGCCTGAATACCATTACTGGGTGGGTTACACTTTGTTAGTCATGTAATAGTGCTTTGTAGATCATTATTACTTCTTTTCTTTAACTTCCATTTGAATTTTTATTTACTTTATTTATAGTACATATTGTACTACATTGTAGTATTGTTATTATATCTTATTGTTTTACGTTTGAAAACTATAATTAGTAACAAAATCCAACTGTTTTAGTTGGGAACAATGAAATAGAGATGATTATTATTGTTATTTTTTAAAGTAATGCTTGACAGCAGACATTAGCTCCTCACAGGGGGGTGATCACCTCGCTGTCAGAGCCTCCCATGGTATACCTAGCTCTGACCCACAGTCCTCTATTTCTCTCCAGATGAGAATGAGTGTAGCGCGGTGGCATCCGTGTGTGGAAGGCAGCAGTGTCGTAATACTGTAGGCAGCTACAACTGCTACTGTGACCCAGGCTATAGCATGGACAATGACAGACAGACCTGCCAAGGTAATCCAGTCATCACACCCTAGATAAATAGAACAGCTTGTCCCTGTCTTCAGTTAACAGCTATGTATCACATATAAAAAATCTTAAAATATTGATAGACATTTTGAAAGTGGGACCCTTTAGTTGAGGGTACTGCAATGAAGACGAACAACTAATGTTTGTCTGCTTCTGGAATGACATTGGTTTTCCAGGTTGGATCAGCCTGTGTCATTTTAGGATTTGTTGGTCAGTGTCTGTTTAGTATGTAGGGTCAAATGAAATATGAGATTTTATTGTCATACATCCAAGTGATTTGAATTTCTGACACCTGCTAGCCATCACTTTTACAGAAGTTTGCTCAGTTGGTGCACAGTTTGATTTCAGATTAAATAGTATTGGAAATGATTATTAGTAAATACTTATTTCAACTACTCGTGTAAAATTAAAGAATAGATAGATAAAGTGAAATAGAATTATATAAATAAATAAGTAAATGGTTGACTGCCTGAAGGAAGGAGTGCATAGTTTTTGTGTTCCAGATCTAGATGAGTGTCAGCTGGGGACCCACACCTGTGACCAGATCTGCAACAATACACCTGGTGGATACACCTGTAGCTGTCAGGATGGCTACTCTCTGGTCAACAACAAGTGTGAGGGTATGTATCACTTCCTCACTGCTCTCTAAATCATACTAATACTTAGAGGTCAGGATGGCTACTCTCTGGTCAACAACAAGTGTGAGGGTACGTATTACTCCCTCACTGCTCTCTAAATCTCACTAAAGCTTAGAGCTCTCTACAGGAAGACACTGCTGTATTTGGGTGAATGTGTTCTGGAATAAGCCTAGATGCTCAGAGTTGTCAGCTCAAAACCTTTTCAGCTTACTTGGACCATCAGTTTTCTAAAATCTTCCAGATCGGGATTCACTGGTCCGAATAAAAATTTCATTAAGACTGGATATTTTCCCCTATTGCATTAACATTAGTAATGAAAAGACCTTGTTTTTGTCAAATATTTTTCTTTATTGAAAATCATCATGTACAGTAACTGTTATGTTTTATAAAAAGATAAATCAAGTCGAATCAAGCTCTAGAAAACTTAATGGAAATGTTTTTGCAGTAAATTCATACATACTGACAAACCTACTGGTCCAAACAATGTAGGACCAGTGGCTAATATTTCGGACTGGTTGAAACTTTTGCATTAAGTCAATGGATCAGTTTAAAATTATCTACTTTCTTTAAAAAAAGCAGAAAAAAAAGCAAAGTCCTGGGATTTATTGAAGCTGTTCTCAGTGTGACAGTGTTCCGCATGGAGTTGGTTCTGGCAGTCTCACAGTTATTATAATAACATTTTAGATTGATTACTTTTGTTTTAAAATTCTATTTCATTTTTCAGATATCAATGAGTGTGACCAGTCCGGCACCTGTGATCCCCGCGCCACATGTCAGAACCTGCTGGGCAGCTATAAGTGTACTTGTATGAAAGGATTTGTGGCATCTGGATCAGCTTGTGTTGGTAAGTATACCTGTATGAAAGGATTTGTGGCATCTGGATCAGCCTGTGTTGGTAAGTGTACCTGTATGAAAGGATTTGTGGCATCTGGATCAGTTTGTGTTGGTAAGTGTACTTGTAT